TCTGAACTATTGAATCTCTCAGCTAGTAATCGGCTTCGATGATGTAGCGGAGGAGGACGAATAGGCAAACCTCGAGGTTGGGGATGTACGGAAATGATATTCAAAGTCACTGCCCACTCGGAGACAGAAGTGAGAAGAACGAGTGACCAGGTGGGCTTCCGTCGGTTGCTCGCCGATGGCGATTTGCAGGCGAGATTTACAAAGTTACAAGGTTGTCGACACGGACCTCGGCGTCCCCAGGGAGGTTCATGTTGATCTGGTCGAGCTGCTGGGAAAATCGAGCATGGAGAGTATCGAAATGTCTCTAATCAACTCTCACCACATCTCCGTTGTTTGTCGAGTCCCGCCAGCTCGCGAGGTGATAGCACTAGTATTAGATAGTTGTGGTGGTGGTAACAACATTTTTTGAGCCGAGTGTCAAAGGTTGCTGCTAGCATCGGGAGAAAAAATTCTTCAGGACGTCAGGTGTCGTCCGAATAGTTCGGGTATCCGGCCACATGACAGCGCGGCCGATAGAATCATCGATTCCCGAAACTTGGCGAAGTGCTCCTCTGTCTGAATCTAGCATTTATTTCCATCGATTGATAGCATTCTCTATCGGTGACCGCCGTCAGAGATTTTTCCCCGGATACAGGCGCGATGCGATGCACCCTCTCCTGTGGGTAAACTGTCGTCTTCTATATTATTCAATTCGGCGGTCACAGTATTGACTCGATCATATCATCCGACTCGTGTCGAGGAATGGTGACTCTATTGAGCTCCCATATATTCCCATCAGAGCTCGATTACATCATATTCCCGACTCAAAACTGCGAATGCGCGATACGGTCGAATTGCGGGAGGTCAAGAATGATGTATAGGTGGTCGAGTGTGGAATGATCGAGCTCATTCTGCATGGGTAATTTCATCCCAATTTCTCCTTATTGTGAGCGAGTGCGTCGGGCTGATCAGATCACCGTCTGGGGTCCGAGGATTCTGTTGTTTGATTTTCAATTTCGAAACATGCTATGATGCACATGCTGTCTTCTTCCACTCACCAATGTGCCATGACGCTTCGTTTCCCTTATCTACGTTTGCGATTACGATATTTGACTCAATGAGAGAGCTCTCACGAGATTGCGGGATATCGGTCGCTCAGAAGAGGGCCTTGCATGACGCGTTACATTCATCGAATTCCGATGATTTGATCATACGTTCGAGGTACGCTTCCATAGATTGAGATTCGGATTTTCTGGAACTCGTTGCGTTCATCGCCGAAGAACGATGACGGCGATGCGTAGCGCCTCGTTTCAAGAAATTTCGGAGACGGCGATAGCAGCAATGAATTGAGATCGAGAACGCAGCAGCTACGATGGACTGTTCTTACAGACGGGGCTCTCGAGATGGATGGTCGCGAGAAACCCCATACTCATGTAAACTTGAATTTCTCCATCCTGAGTATTCCAATGAACGTGCAGGCTCCGGCAAATTGAAGCACCCGTCGGAGCTGTTCGTCTGAGAGCGCGAAGTTCGAGGTTCCACCCATGATACGACAGAGGCATTATAGGTCTTTCGGTGGAAAGTTCCGCTCCGAACATCCTTCACTCGATAACGCTGACCACGACTCCGGGAGGACTTCTTCTACCGAAATTCACCTGCGTGAAGTATTACAGAATCTCTTCGGGACTTCGCGGTGCCGGAAAACGGCTCGAATCGATATGACCTTCCTGCTGCGGTCGAATAGCTTGAAGTTTGGAATCGATTTTGAGCTAATTTGTCTCCGGGAGGCCCGGAAAAAGTACTGCGGAAGACAGAGGATCACAGGGAGAGCAGAGGAGGGTAGCTCGTCCCCTGAGATTCTCGTGGAGAGGGAGAGGAATCCGCAAACAACTCATCAGCTCTCACTCGGGATGAAGTATCCTACGTAGTGATTCGTACGCGATCGCAGAAAGCGTTTCCAGGTCTTCGATTCCTCGAGACGGCTACCTCACAGGACGGATCTGATGACCAAAAATCAGCAGCAACATGGAGCATTCGAAAATCATAAGCCGACAAGGACAACTCGGTGAGATCCGATTGCCAGCTGCTTCGCGCTCCGGAGTCTATGAACGGAGGTGTATCTGATCCAGATTCTGGACCCAACGATTACCGAAGGCGCCGGCGACTACACCACCGCTGGTGATGGTTAGATTCTGCGCTGGTTGATAGTGGTGGTGAAGGTGGATGGAGGGAGCCATTGGCGTTAATTCTGCCTCGGCCGCTCTTGCCATGCTTTGCTACTAGTAGTGGTAGCTGCTCTCGCACGCTCGAAAAATAAGCTGCTGAGATTTTTTGTCGTCGGCAGAGATAATTTCCCTCCGACGAACTGCTCATATAATTGTTGCTCTCATTTCGTGTTTTATCTTAAAGCATCTGAGCTGGTGCTTCTGCGTTCGTCTTTCCCTTCCACCGCGATCGCCGCTTCTGCGGCATTTACTGTTGCTCGGTCGCTTGTTCGGTTCGTCCGTGCGTCCATCCAACCATTCGACCGTCCGTCCATCGCGTCGGTCGGCCGCTCGGCCGATCGCCTGATTGGTCGGACGCTGTTCAGTGGAGGTGTTGGTGGTCCTGCACGGCTTCGGACCACATGTCAGCCTCCGTACTTACGTTGTGATCTTGTTTCATCAGTATTTCCACGCAATACTGAAATAAGGACTGGCCTGCCAGCGAATTGGAACCATCTGTCACTCATTTAGTCGGTCAGCCAGCCAGTCAGTCAAATAAGCTCTGATTGCAACCATGTGGACCGATGAAAAATGTGTTCTGCACGTTCACCTAGAATGCGGAGAGCCCGTATAGATAAAATGCAGGCGAGCCCGCCCGCCGGCCGGCCATGTCTGGAGTCTGGATCCGCGCGGCTACCCTACATCGACCTGTTATCCAGGCAGCAGCATCAGTCGCCGATTCGAGTTCTCCAGAGAACCGTCGTACTTTGTTTCATATGATACCATTCTTTTCTGCCCGTTGACTTGTGTTACGGCGAGTGAGCGAGCGAGCTAGCCAGCCGGCGACCGTGTGTTTACGATACTCTCATTTTTTCATTTCGATGCGGTTGCGCCACTCCTTCAAAGAGCTACCACCGGTTCCACTATCGCTGGTAGCCTCGCATGGGAGCAGATACTTCGACGAGGCATCGGAAAGTCACAGGAATGCTTCGATGGATCGGACAGGACTCTAACAGCCCGGACTCGCTCCCGCGGGGAGTCGAGCCAATCTTGCTCATTGGTCTCTTCTTTGACTTTGGCGGAATTTGATGGAAAACCCGGGAGCCGTATCTATCATTCGATATTGTCCAGAGATTCCATTATCTGAATATGTATTGATCGTTCTTCGCTACTTGAGCTGTCTGACGTCCTCTCCCGACGAGATGCCCACGGAGCTGCGAACTCCTCCGCTCGCCAGATGTCGATATCTGCGAAAGAAGTACTTCAGGTTCTGATCATCTCCAATCCGACTGGCTTGCCCGTGATTGACAGCGACGCCGACTATTTAATAAGTGGAAGAACGTAACCACTCCAAAAACAAAAAAACGATAGAATGTTACAAAAAAGTTTCTCTAATCTGGCTTGGCAACGACTTACCTCGTTGAAATCGGCTCCCTGGGTACTTCATCTCGTCAACATTCGCTCATCCGTCCGAAACGCTACTTTCTGCCGCCTTCGTTTTATTGTCGTGCTTTCGGAGAAGGGTCGCGTTTCCGACCGGAGCCAGTTCTACAATAAAATGGAAGAATAAAGGATGGGTTTTTCGTTTTTTCTTCGTGGGTTTTTCTCTCTTCGCTCTCAGACCCTACCCTGTTAGAGTTGATGGCCAACTGGTCGATGCTAGCTAGTTCGTTTCATCAATAGACAACCAGACACGGAATGCCAGAAATATACGCCCAAACCTCACGGCGCATCCACGGAGCACGCCGTGCGGCTCCGCAAGAAAAACACACTTGTTTCTTAGCGCTTCTTTGTTTTCAATTCTGTGTAGCTTTGATCCTTATCCTCCTTAGCCCGGAGAAGACAGTTCGGCGGAATAACATACACGGCAAGGAAAAGAAAGATTGACGGGCGAATCGGCGTAGAGACAGATAAACAGTCTGCGGTTGAACGGCAAAGGAGGAAACGTTTGAACGCGATCGGTGCTTTCAATAACGGCCTAAGCACGAATATATCGAGAGTCAATTACGCCTGTGGGAGTTTGAGCAACGCAGTTAAGTGAACGGAGATCGCATTCATTAATTCAATTACATCTCCCCCCGTCCGATTTCTTTCCGATTTGCCTCTCGATGTTCGGTCAATAAATGCGCGAATGGATATCAGAAGGAGGCATCGGCATCCGTTGAATGCGATTCTGAGCCCCGCGTGAGTCCACCGATTTCGGCACCCGGGAAGAGGGAAGCTCAGTGCTTGATCTGATCACGGATCACACCATATACTCAAGAACGATGCACCTTTGCCTTGATCGCATCCGTCGACTGGATGCTTGGCATTTCCCCTCCGTTTTTCTTCTGTCATTCCATCTGTACGGATGAGGTACGTCAGTTACTTCCTCCTCATGAGTTCATTAACTTCGAAGCTATCGTCAGAGCCGCCACGATCATCGCCGAAAAAAGTCTTCGACAGGAATGTTCCGGAAGGAGTGAAGAAAATCTCCTTAGGAATCTCCGAGCAGAGAGCAGAGTCAATACTCCGACGTAGTGAATGTACTTGAAGAGTCTACCAGTTTACACATCGAATTCGGATACATAGGCCGACAGAAAAAAAAAAAATAATAATAATAATAATAATAGGCGCATTCGACTCTCAGACGCAATCAATTTGTACGCAGGATCTTCTGCGTCTCCTCGACCCGAATATCTGGCTCGCAGCCCGGGATATGTGCGACGCGCCGGGGCCCTGCCTGGACAAAGCCGCTGTTTACACGCGGCTCGCTCCGCTGACAGTCGCATCGTCTCGTTGATGCTCTGAGTTCGATGCGCGATGCGGTCATAAACAATGTCGTCTCAGAGTTTTGCGCGTTTATTCCGTGTCATTAGTGGTCATCGATCGATTGTTCTCTCACATACGGTCAGTAGGAGGCTCCATCTCCAGTGTCGTGTCGCTCAGCGACTCCTCGAACGGAGCCTAGCTCCCCACCAGCATGGAGTTCAACAGCGCCGATCTAACTCCTCGAAGCCGGGCGAGAACAAAGAGGAAGACAAAAAAGACGATAAACCCCCGGAGCGTTCCGAGTTCCTCTTCAACTGTGTCAAAATCGCTATAGCGCTCAACATCCTGAACATCGCGTTCAACTGGTTCGCCAATGCGCGGAAGAACTACGACACGTCGCAGGTTACCTGGAACGACTTCTACCACAACATGCTGGCGAAGGGGGAAGTCGAGGCTATCGTCGTTCGTCCAGAGTATCCGAACACGGTCCTGATCAGATTGACTCCCGGTGCGGTCATCAACGGGAAGGTCACCGACCGACGCTCCTACTTCCTGGAGATCACAAGTCTCGAGAACTTCGAAGCTAAGCTCCGGGAGGCCGAGAAACAACTCGGGGTCGCCCCCGGCTCGGTGCCCGTCGTGTACGCTCGACACTCGGGCGTAGTCGCGCTGATCAACGTGCTGCTAATCGTGGGATTGATGTACGCCTTCGTCAAGATGAGGAAACGTTTTGCCGGGAAATCAACCCAAGGTTTCCTCGACGATCTCCAGAAAGCCCAGTTCACGGTGGTCGACCACACCATCGACTCCACGAGACCCAAAGTTCGTTTCTCTGACGTGGCCGGCTGTCACGGGGCGAAGGTTGAGATCGGCGAATTCATAGATTACCTCCAGGACGCGGAGAAGTACAAGAAACTCGGTGCTAAACACCCCAAGGGAGTTCTCCTGCTGGGACCCCCGGGCTGCGGGAAAACCATGTTGGCCAAGGCCGTGGCCGCCGAGGCTCAGGTCCCGTTTCTGGCGATGGCCGGCTCGGAGTTCATTGAAATGATCGGCGGTCTGGGAGCTAGTCGGGTTCGAAACCTCTTCCAGGAAGCTCGCAAACGAGCTCCCTGCATCATTTATATCGACGAGATCGACGCCATAGGTCGCCAGCGGAGCTTCAACCAGGCGAGCACGAGCGGCGAAGAGGAGCAGACGCTGAATCAGCTGCTTTCCGAGATGGACGGAATCTCGACGAAGGAGGGGGTCATCATGCTGGCGTCGACCAATCGGGGCGACCTTCTCGACAAGGCCCTCTTGCGTCCGGGGAGATTCGATCGGCACATTCTCATCGATTTGCCCAACCTCGCGGAGAGGGTCGAGATCTACGAAAAGCATCTCGGATCCATAATGCTCGAAAAATCACCGTCGACCTACTCGCAGCGCTTGGCCCAGCTGACCCCGGGATTCAGCGGCGCCGACATCGCTAACGTCTGTAACGAGGCGGCGCTGCACGCGGCACGTCTACAGAAGCATAGCGTGACTTCTGAAGACATCGATTACGCCGTGGAGCGAGTTGTGGGCGGCACGGAGAAGAAAACGCATGCGATGTCGCCTGAAGAAAGACGTCGAGTCGCCGTTCATGAGAGCGGACATGCCATCGTCTCGTGGCTGTTGGAGAGCACCGACGACGTGCTCAAAATCTCTATCGTACCCCGGACCAAGGGCACGCTCGGCATGGCGAGGTACGTGCCCACCGAGCAAAAGCTCTTCAGCAGCGAAGACCTCTTCGAGCGCATCTGCGCGGCGCTCGGAGGACGCGCGGCGGAAGTCATCGTCTACGGTCAGCCTTCCACCGGGGCAGAAGACGATCTCAAGAAAGTCACGGAGATCGCGAAAGCCATCGTCGAACAGTACGGTATGGATGCGGGTATTGGGACGTTGTCCTACACCGACCGTAAGCCGTACTCGAAAAAACTCGCGAATACGATGGATTTTCGAGCCAGCCGTATAGTGCAGAAAGCTTTCGAAACAACAGTGAATTTAGTCAGGGCGAATCAAGATAAACTGAAGGCGCTCACCGACGAGCTGTTCCGGAAGGAGGTCCTCGAGCGTGCAGACGTCGAGGCCATTCTGGGTCCCAGACCGCGCCTCCAGAAAGCGGCGGCGAACTAGAGCCGGATCGGAGCACCGCGTCCAGTCGCCGCAACCGTTGTATAGAAATCCTATGAGAGTGACAAATAAATTTGATAATCAAAACCGGATCAGAACTCCTTTCCCGAGTCTCGACCAGCGAGGAGTCTCGACCGATTGGGAAAGTGTCCCGAAGGTACATATCTCGCGATCAGGACTTTTCTCAGGGTCTGACCGATTTCACAGAAACAAAATTGGTCGTCGGGAACCCGCCTCACTAGGATGAACTCACTCGTCGAGCAGATAAGGCGAGGCTTGAGTTGGAAAAAAATTATAAACTTATCAGCCCCAAGCGATCCCAGTGGAATTTGACTTTGACGCCGTTTCCAGCCATTGGCCGAAATACAAACAATCTAATCTCTGCCCGGCCAGGAAATTTGTCCCGCCTCTACGCTTAAATGTTTAATTTTTAAGCGAGCTCCATCAACGATAGCGCGCGGTCAGAGAATATGAATATCAGCCTAAATTAATAAGAAGCGAGTCAAAAATAACAACAACAAAACAACGCCTCGTCAAGGCTCGAACGAGGCTCACCTGCTCGTATCGGATACAGAGATCTAAATTAGGAACATGTAATTTTCTCGCTGCTGATCTCCCGGGTTTTTTCGGAAAGCTCGAGAGAGGAAATCCGCGATATCTCCCAACCGGACAATCTTTGAGAATCCATCCTGTGCTCGGATTGGAAAGAGTCGGCGGAGAAGATTTTGCCAGCGTGAGCTGACCCAGGAATGCGTGGAGCGGGACCCGCGTTCGTCCGAATATATATGAGGAGGAAAACACAGAGACAGAAAACAAGAGAAAGTAAAACGGAGAAGTCTGTCAGCGGCGGTTGTGGCGGCGGCGGTGGCGTTTCCCACGAGTTCGTCCCGTTCAGCGAAAACTGAAAATGCTCAACGTTCCTGTGGTGAGTCAGGGCGCGTGATCTTCCCCGTTCACTTTACCTACCTACCCTGCGACGATTTTGCGGCGCGGCGCCGCTGAGCGCGCCTGCTGGTGTACCGGCCGGCCGGCTCTCTCCTTGCTGATGATTCTGCAGAAGACGGCGGATTTTCTGTGCGTTTTTCGCGGTTCTTGCAGTGCTGTGTTTTCCTTCTCGATCGCTATTCCACTCATCTTCGTTCAGTTTTTGAGCGGTCGACCGGTCGGCCGGCGAAGCGAGCGGCGGCGGCGGCGGCGTTGTCGTCGTCGTCGTTTTCTCCGTCTTCTTAGCGGGCATCCCATAACCCTTTGGGCCTCTGGGGGCCTCTGTCGGTTAATACGCTCACTTGCTCAGCATCTGCGGCGGGAATGGCGGCGGCTCACAGCCACTAGCGCTGTCAGCGTCGGTCAGGCAGTCACATCGAGGAACAGATTGAGAAATTGGCGGGCAGCGGGTGGATTAAGGAGCGGTACTATTGCATCGAATACCACGGAACCGTTGCAGTTCGTGAATCAGACGACGTCGACGTTCATCTATTCGCTCGCGTCTCGAGTGCGTCGCTCTTCCCATTCGAACAGCGTCACCTTCATTTTTCGTGCCACCGAATCTGATCGATTGAGAGTTTCGGTCCAGACTTTCGCCTGAAGGAGCTAATCGGAGATCGTCCTCGCGTTCCTCCTATTCCCCCTCGATTCGCCCCAAGATAGGAGACGGGAAAATATAAATAATTATTTCTTCCAGGGATTTTTTTTCTAAATCTGGCGGTGCCCGGATTTATCGTCTTAGCTGTCGCCTCGAAACATCGAAGTATTCGAACCGGCCTCCTACGGTGACCGATCCTTCCGTGAGCATGGGGGATCAAGTAGTCGCGGGTGGAAGCGGGGGAGCACGTGGAGGGAACACGATATGGGGCGTTCCGGTGAATACACATTGCTGAGCGTGTGGTCCAAGAAACTTCACGCTGAGCAAACAATGCCGGATCTTTACATATCATCCTCTCTCCGCTCGGATTCTCTTCGAATTCAGAGCACGACAGCCGCTGCCGTGCCATCAAATAACAACAAGGCGGCCATAATAGCTGGGGTTTTCATGGTTAGTCGTTGTTGCCGCCGCCGCCGCCGCCGAAGACGGGCACGACGGCGTTGTTGTCGTCGACACCCTTCTCTCCGACATGACGGAACCATCAGAGAAAAATTTACTTTCCTACCGAGCTCCAGCCTGCCGTTTTGTCTAGGGGCCTCTGTCTAACTCTGTCGTCGGATAATTCGGCGAACGGCGGCAGACCAGCTAGCCACCTCACCGATATACCGAGCGACCGACTGACAGACAGGCCGGCCGACCGACTGAGCGACCGAGCAACCAGTCAGTCAGTCAGTCAGTCACTCCGTCAATGATCGGCAATCCATCGACCCGCCGTGCGATCGGCCGAATGCCAACCATCCAGATACCGCCGTCATCATCCGTTCTGAACACTTAATCCTAAATAAATTGCATCTCACCGCTAAGTGTGAATAGAGTTACCGTCGCGGTCTTCACGCGCGAAACTTTGATCCCTAATCCATGGCCCCCCAGCTTCTCTTGATTTACTGCCGATGGAGCTCTCTCTCACTCTCTCCCGAATCGCCAACGGCTGGAATCCATAGATGCACCCGCTCCCCCTCCGATCACCTGTTGCCTAGACGAGCACCTACCGCCGTTCGACATTCAGGTCCGAATCCGGATTTCAACCCTCGACTATTTTCCGAGGACTTCCCCTTCTCAGAGAGTATGCGTTTCTTTCGCTGATCACCATTCTTCCACTTGAACGCTCGGAATGCGTCCGTGGCGAGTCGAGCCTCCGTTTTACCTTGCCCTGAAAGTGTGAAACGACGGAGCGGGTTCTCCGGATGCCGCACTTGGACGGTTCCCCTGACGAGTTTGTCCTGGGTGCTCCGAATGTTAACTCAATGACAAGACTCTGGTCTCTGCTCCGGTTTTCTCTGCTCGAACTGGAAGAGGAACCCTCCCTCGATCCTCCTAAAAGCCTCAAATTCCCACCAGGTTGACCGGATCCTCTGAGAGCTCCTTCCTCTCTACCCGATAGGAAAATCCGCCCGGTTCATCTTTCCATTCTCTTCTCGGAAAGGGAGGGGCACGGAGCTCACACGGAAAAGCTGGAAAAATGGAAGACACAGCGATTGCATTCTTCTTTCTTCATCGGACCGAACACGGGCTCCACGGCAGCCGTGGCCAGAGTCGCAGCAGCATCCCTGCCACCCGCCACCGTCAACAAGTGCCTTCACCAGAATGGCATTCCTTCCTGTTCATGGACATAGTAGAAAGTCTTTCAATATTATGCGTGCCGGCAGCGAAGAATGAAGCTTGTTGTTTAGCTGTGACGTTGACTATCCGTCGAAGACATTCTCTCCTCGCCCCTTTTTCGAGCGAATGGACTTCGAACACCAACAAGTAGTCTAGCTGTCGACTTCCATTCTTGGCATCCTCCTGCTTGAATCATCGACATCAATGAACTCTGTCCGCTCTTACCATTCAGGCCTCGTGAAAAAAACGAAGGAAAAACACAATTTTCATCCGTGACGACGACGGAAACGACTAGGAACGACTCCTGGAATTCCGGACATTGAAGCTTGGCTTCATCAGATGCATAGTTCACTGGCTTCCCTATGATGATCTTCAAGAGAGAATTATTATTATTGTTGTTGTTCGGAATTCTGACGAGACCTAACCGATGGAATTTCTGTGCGTCCGACCGAACTACCGTGTAGTACTACTTCACTTTGCGCGAATTTCGCGCGATAAAAATAGCAGTTTTTGTGGTGGTGGTGGTGGTCGTCGACATCTTCTGAACTGGCATCGTCGTGCCATCGACTACCATGGGAACCGGCGACCGTCTGTCCGTCTTCGGCGGACCAACCAAACAAGCCGCTAACAACAAGTGACCGATCCGGGTCTCTGATTCAGTTGGGACATGGAAAAAAGCGTATCATGCTTGACAGGCGTCCAGTACGTTTAACCTTCCGGAATCGCCGACTTGATGGATGTCCCTCAGGTGCCGTATCAAACGAGCCTGTTGTAAGAATAGGTTTAGGATCTTTCGGCATCTCTCAGAGAGCCTCGTAGCCCGAGTATCGACAAAAATATCAGGCTTACGGGAATTCGATTTATCACAGTCATCAATCTCCGTTGGATGATGCCTGAATGACCGATGGATCCGGCGGACGATTTTTTCGTGACGGGGCAACTATTTCCTCGTTGTGGGAGCTCTCATTGTTCGGCATTCGCATACGGTTTCTGTCGGTGCCGTGCGTGGAGGATGTCATGCAAAAGTGATGAAAAACGGATCGATTGGTTTTGAACTGCTCATACCGTGCGTCCAAGTTCCTTATGGTCTGGCGCTTCGCCGGCAACGAGCAGAAGGACATCTGACCGGAGGCTAATAGTTGCTGCATGAAGTTCAAGGGGAGAGAAATCGTTGAATGGTTCGTGATTTCTTGACTCAGAAATGATCATGTGGGCGGAAGCTCAGCCTTTGGTGAAGTTTTGTAAGCTTTCGAAACTTCGAGGCTACATCCCTGTTGAGCAAAGCGTCTGATGTTTTACATCCGTTTCTTGCGGGAAAAGCAATGTCCATCGGATTGATCCGACTGATGTTGCCCGGCACGGCGGGAAAAAAAGGAAAAATTACTCCCTGCCCTCGATCGTATTCCTCCCTTGTCGAGTCGAGAATGACGACGGGGCGTTAGCGAGGAGAAAGAATTCTGAGATATTAGGCGGAAACTTTCTCCTTGCGGACGAATTTCATGCTCGCGACTCTGGCTCGGGGAGTCAATAAGTCGCGAGACAGCGGTGAATGCAGTCTCCTCAGCGGTCGTCACGACGGCCTAAGGCTCGTCCAGGAGAATCTGTTCGAGGATTCTGATCATTCGCTCGACAATATCGTGCATCCGCTGCATTCGTTTGAATAGAGGTCTGTAACGGCCAGATACTTTCGATATTCAACAATGAGTTTGGGGAATTCTCCCGCGTCCACCGGTTTTGCATTTGAGCTCCTCCTGTGGCGATCGAGGGATCACAATCATTGCAGGTCCGCATCATCTTCGATCTCTGCTCAATCCAAAGGGGAAAGGTACCGATGCGGTGTTTCGGTGTAGACCGAAGGGTCATCTATCATCACTCATCACCCATCACAACTCGAGATCTGGAACTTCGGCGGAAACCGAAATCCGGATAGCCCTCTGGGGTGTCCGTGCCGTTCTTCGAGCATGTTTGTCGAGTGCTCTTTTGTCGACGGGGCCTTCTTCCCCCCTCCCCCACGCCTCAGCTTGGCAGAATCAGTCGACAGAGCGAATAAGTCACGCCTATGGTACAATGTTGCCCACCCTCCACTGGGGGACTCGTTCAATTGGATAGCATTGGAGCGAATCGGAGACTCGGGTCCCTAAGCTATTCGGGGAGAGTTCTAACGCTACCGATGAATGGACTCTCCAACATACGCGGTGAAGAATTGGCGCCGACATGACACGAGTTCCGCCTACGTCCGGGCTGCTTGACCTTGCTTCAGCTGCGCGAGTCGCGTGCAAGTCGCAATCGAAAGGCAATTTTTCCTTCTCACAACTTTCCCACCCGCGACTCGATGTTGGATTTGGCCAACACGACCGGAATCTCTCGTGCCATCACAAGCAACCGAATGCGTATTCAGGGTGGTCTCGTCGTCGGACCAAAGCGGCGTCAGTCAGTAGCGTCAGCTTGAGCGCTTGACGACATTGGCAGACACGTAGCCACGTGAGCTCAGCGGCAGATTTTCCGCTGCTGATTCCGCCCTAGCTCTGGAAAGAACTCGATTCATCACTCGCCCGTGGTTTCTCGGGCGTGAATACCTCAGAATGGGGACTACCGGACGAATTATTCATGAACTATCGACGCTTTGATGCGCTGTAATCCTAGAAGCCGCTCGACTCGAGTTGTCGTCGCCGTTCCCGCCGTCGTCGTCTCTATCCTCACGACCGATCAGATGTCCCGAGAAGCGCCGGTCTTCCGTTGAACGTCGGGGATTCCAGGCGAGGACGAGACAGGTTTAGAATCGGTAGTTCGGATCGGGTTTTAGAACATTGGCTCGCGCGGAACAACTCTGAGTGAGATCGTGTTCAGTAGCTTTCAGGAACGTGCGTAGCGCACGAGAGAAACTTTCGCTGTTCGCTCGCTTTGCTTCGCCTGCTCGACCGCCGCCGCATGCGCTTGATGCTAATTTTGTGGCTTATCGGTCATCAGCGGAGAATCTCATTTCAATGATCAGTTCGACGTATCCATTGAGCCACGAGGCTTATCACGCTTCGCCACCGATGAAGGCTACTCAGAGACGATTGCGCTGATTTCACGATTTTGATTGTCTTCATGCTACTGGTCGCGCCGTGATTACCATGAAACACCCTCGATGAATCTGTTTTCTGGAGGAGATGATCATGCAGAAAGCTCTTGGGATATTCATTGAGATCGCCTCGTGTTTGTTTGCTTCTCGCATTGAGACGATTGGGCCACCGTAACAGTTTTCCTCTGTGGTTACAATAGACTACTGGATATACATTTTGGAGATGAATAATAATTGATCGCCGTCGACGGGGATCTTCCTTGTGCAGGATATCTGACTACCCAATGACTCGTCATCCGCGGCTGCGGTATCTCTTAGAGCGATCTTGCGTGGATCTCGTGGATATCTCTCTGTGGGATTCGCTTCGGAACTCCGAAGTATATCTGGATTATAGCGAAGGTGAGGGCTGATACACTCCCAGTCAGAACAGTCCAACTTCTTACGGCGCGACTGGGAGACCCTTCTCGATCGTCCGCTAGCGCAACAGTCTCCCTGCTGGAGGATTTTCACTGGGTCATTCAATCGGAGTGACCACCCGATCAAGGGCGTACCCAGAGTTTCGTTCGGGCGAGAAGGGCTGGTTCCGGATCTCTGTGGGGCAGCACTCCGAAACGACGACCTGCTCCTATACTCTAGCATTAGGAAACGATGTCCTGGGTTGGAGATTTGGGAGGGGGGATAGAGCCGCATGCAGCCCCGGGATGGGAACGCTACTCTTGCGATTCCTGACGGCCCGACATGCGGAAGGCTGTGACTGCTACCACCTTCAAGGAGTTCAACCTCCAGATCCACAGTACTCTCTACGACAGCATTCCACGATGTGCCAGAGCCAAAGTGTTCCGTAAATGAAGTGCGCGGCATGTGAAGTGAGCTTCAGCGTGTAGACATCGAAGTTTGCAGACGTGTAGGGAACGCGAGAGTTCGGCAGCGGATTCTCTGCCTCCGTATTGTGAGCTATGAGGAGATTAGCAGAGAACCTACTGGTCCAGGGGATCTCCAGGCCAAACCCTTTAGGAGGAAGAGCGCTGCGCGACTTTGCGGAAAAAGTTGCGAAACTAATTTGACAGCTTCAATTACTGATATACTCTGCTTCGTCGACTTCCTGATTCAAGAAACTCAATAAGAATTTCCTGTGCGGCGTTGGATAGGGGTTTTCTCCATGGACGATCGAATTTCCGAGAGCATACGATTTCTGAATTTTCACGCCGCTAAAATCTAGATGTCGACGCCGTCTTCCCCGATCGGATGTCTCGAGAGGAAGCGCAAGTCTGACGATGAATTTCGTAGAGTATGGAGAAAGCTAGATAATCGAGGGATTTGAGAACTTCCGAGCTCCGAGTTCCAAATCTTCTCTCTCGACTTCAAGCGTAACGCTCGATCGCTGCCACGTGTGCTCGATGCTCATCCTGCAGCTTATCGGTCATCAGCGGAGAATCCTCTTCCAATAACTATTGATTATAATCAATTTGACGCATTCGTGGAGCATGGAGCCTCATCACGCTCCAGAAGCGGAGATGGCGTCCCAGAGACCATTTCGCTGATCCCACCATTTCAATTATCTTCATGCTTGCAAACGCGAAGCGGTTGAGGGGAATGGCTCCCGATGGAGCTTCCTGATTAAAGCTTGCGGGTCAGCTCTCGGTGAATTTCTCCACAGGCTTACAGCTTACGCCCCATGAATCAATTTTCTGGAACAGATCAGGCATCAAGCTGAATCGTCCCGAGACATTCATAGATAAGCCAGAGTTTACTCTTTGCTTTCTGCTTCAGAAGCTCTGCAATATCGGGAAGACAAGATCGGAATGCGATATAGGAGAAAAATGATCGGCCCGTATGTGTTCTGAGGAAAATCTTCGCGACTGAGCGACTCATGGATGCGGCTGGCCTATCGTTCAGGTAGTCAAGTTTTCGATCTGCCGGAGTCGTAGCCGGGGCTCGATACTCTGGCCAATCGGTTGAGGACTCGCTGCTCAGGACGGAGCCAGATTTTCGCCCTCATCCACGGAAACGCCGGCTTTCTCCAGAGTGAAGCTAGGGGCCCGGGTAGGGCACGCAGGCTTGTGAGAAATCGTCGCGAGGTAACTCGGAGCGATTCAAGAGCTTTTTATTCCCGCTTCCGGTATAAGGTTTGATTGATCTTCGAGATAGGTATATCTCTCAAGGGCTCAATGTCAACTCCGTCGAAGTGTTTGACCACATCGTAGCTCGTCACACTGTCCTCAATCAAGTTCGTGTTCGTAGGTGAGCACGAGAGAATGTATCCTGGGTAGATACAACAAGCGAATGTCAAGACACTAACTATCAACCAGGATGGCAATGCGATAGCCCAGTACTTGTCCGGCAAATAGGTGATGCCGATGCTAGCCCACGATCTCGACGGAATGTACGCCCAGGCGAGGTAGGCTATGAACGTGATTTGTGCGCCAATCATCAGGACGAACCCCAGCACGGACCGAGAGAGTTGCGGAGAAGGAGAAGTCATGCTTCTCGCGGACTCTACGGTGCGAATTCCTCGATCGTTTTCAGGACTAGATCAAGCAGCTCGAAAAAGTTCGTCGTCGCGTTACGTAGGTTCTTGATGTCCTTCGCGGAGATTTTCCTGTTGATAAAGAATAACTCGTCTCAACATTTGCCTTGTTGGATACCGCTGACGAGAATTCTCAACGAATCGATAGGATCATTCCCGCATGGAATGCTCAGAATCAACCTCACACTCGGAGACTCGTGTCATCGGCCTCGATGGATTTCACACAATGGCTCCGCACCGGCTCAGGGTCTGCCTGAAGACTACGTTGGACGATTGTACAATGCTTGGCGTCAGCGAAAGGAATCACTAGCGACCTGTGAAAGAAGAATCGATGCCTGTGAGAACTCAAGTTCTAGGAAGGGCAGCTGTGCTCGAACGGAATCTTATGAGACAGAGATTGTTTCGCGAGTGTTGCTTACACGGAGTGAAAATTCTCTGCCGGATCTCCACCACTGGCGCTCTCCCCCCGACTCTCAACCGCCGACATGGCACAGTGGACTTGCCACGATTGGGATAGGAACCTGTGCTCGGCGTTGAGATGCAGCCGTCAAAAGTCGAAAAGCCTTCTCAGCAGCCTCTTGAAGTATCCCTAAATTAACCGCGGTACATGGTGCATGGCAAACATTCGTCTGCGACCGCTGATGATGATCTTTGCTCATTGCACGAGAATGACCGAACTCCGGACGTTCAGGCGTCCGGACGGAGGCGCTTGTCTCTGGTCTCTCCCTTCTCTCCGTTCCCTGATCGCATCTTCCAGCTACAATCTCACCTTAGATTGTCAAATATGTCTCCGAGAGCCAGGATATGATTCCCTCTTCACATTAGGTCCCATCCGCTAGAAAGACTAGAACTCATATTCCAGTGTAGGTGTCAGACGTCAGAGCGAGACTAATGCCGAAACTCTATCGTGGCCGTTTCCAGGATCCCCGATTCTTCCGAAGGTTGCCAGGCTCGAGCTCAGATTGTGGATTGATCGAGAGAAGTCGGTGCCTCGGGAGATCCGCAATGCTGAGTGAGCCTGCACCGTGGGATCCGGATGCATCGTTCAGGGTGGCCTGAAGCTTCAAAGCGGTCAGTAAGGGAGCTTCCTCCGAGGTCGAGGAAATTGAAATTCCTTTCGCTTCCACCATCATTCACTGATCATCTGCATCGCCCTCGAAAATGGGCATGCGTACTTATCAGAGCCTACTATTCCGGTGAGCACAATCTTCGCTCGGGAAGATCAGGAACTCGAGGGAACCCGGATGATCCAGGGAGTGTCGATGGAAACTCTACAATACATCACAGATAATACAGATAAACACAGGAATCTCTGTTGCACCCCGGCTACCCAGGAAGATTCATCAGCTGCTGACGAACGAGTTCAGTTCGGTTCTCCGGACCTTGAAAGCATAAAATTCGGCATCCTGGGAATCTGATTTTCTCCCTCGGGCGATCCTCAGTTCCCCGCGGAGTGGTTGAGGAAATCTGTGGGAGAACGAGCATGTACGAGACGGATATCGGCTAGAATTATGCCTGAGATATCACGTCATAGCGCAACCCCGAAGATCAAGGGCTCCAGGAAGGGCCATACAGTCACCATTTTCGAGTGGACCCCAAGTTGTCATCACATTGAAGCTCCTGGCTACTATGAGTCTTGCGGAGGAGCTTTTCGGCTGCTCTCAGTGGCGTCGATCACGAACCGGATCGAGCAGCTGACAGAGAGGCCGATTCCAGATACACCGCCCGCGAAGCGGGCCCTGATGACCAGCATGAAGTACCAAGCCCGCATACTGCCACGGCTCGCGCGGACATGAGGTCGAAGTTTGGCTGGCGTGGCACTGATATCACGGGATCGATGATTGCCTGGATGTTCTGGCTAACTCCCCGGAAGGTCTGCTGAAGATCCCAGGCTTCGTCCATGCAGAGAATGGCGAATTCCTCCAGTGTCCGGGTTCCGAACGGCAGCAGATTCCTGCATTCGGCGGTAATCCGCAACACGTCGGAACAACTCGGTGCTTGCTCCACATATTTGTATGAGTTTGTCCCAATCGAGGAGCTTGGAATCGTGCAGGAAAATATTGTACCCCGGTCCGAATCCTCTCGTCGCGTAATCGACGCAGATAAGAGCGGGGACCGGGTCGTTGGGGAAAATGACTCCGTCGTCATGGACTGTGTAGAATTATAGAATGTAGAAATTATCTGGTGATGCTGCGTCAGATTTCATTCGGAATTTCACACTGCGGAAGGGTCATCGCTGGGGAATTCGCTGCTGGGACCACCTGATCCGTTTCAAACGCCACCGAATAGATCTTGAGCGCATTCGGGAGCGCCCCGTGTGACAAAACAATTTCCTTCCCTGGTGTTGGCCGCTTCCTCGAGCTGAGAGCTCATTCTTAGCGTAGGTCTTAAGACGCTTCCTTACGCGTCACGGAGATCCATTGATCGAAGCATCAAAACGGCGATTCGCGCTCAAGCAGCGACGCGGCACGTCGACGCGTGAGAGGCACTTGAGCGTCCAGGGAACGCGCGTCTCCGTTGGGATCTAGCTAAGAATGACGCGCCCTCCAGCGAGCTTCTGTCAGGCTTCGAGCTCGAGAATGCCAGAGACTTCATGCGGACGGAACCGAGCAACGTAGGCTCATGCCGGGATCGATTGCTGTCAAAACCGCACCTACTTATGTACCTAACCCTCATGACTCGATCCGAAGAAACAATCTGAGCGGGGAAAGGCTCTCTAATCGCTGCCCTCTCCACTGGTCTCTCCGTCACAGATGTTCACGCTCGATGCCAACCAGGATCATTAGACGTGTTCGCCGCCGACTTCCAACCCTCCATCGAAATGGGTTCAGTGAGCTCCACATCCAGAGGTGGCGATCAGACCTCGACTGAAGCTTCGCAGGATGTTCCGGGAGACGGGATACCGGCGCGATCAGAGATCGAGCTCGAGCCGAAACGAGTGGAGCCCGAGCCGAAACGAGTGGAGCTCGAGCCGAAACGAGTGGAGCTCGAGCTGAAACGAGTGGAGCTCGAGCCGAAACGACTGAAGCTCGAGCCGAAACGACTGAAGCTCGAGCCGAAACGACTGAAGCTCGAGCCGAAACGAGTGGAGCTCGAGCCGGAACGAGAGGAGCTCGAGAGGCTTTCCACCGAACCAATGATCGGTATGAATGGTATGTTTGGCTTAAATCAGTTATTCCCTCCGAGCCCCGAGTCGAATCGCGGTGCTGACGGCCTCCCTTCTCGATTTGCAGATATCGACACTCGAAAGTATAAGCAGAAAGCATTGGAAATCATAATCGCTCATCCGAACCTGAAACTGAACACTCTTCTCGAAGTTTATAAACTTGAAAATGGAACTCCTCTCGAGTACCAGGGAAAGCTCAAGAAATGGCTCCTCACGATTCCCGGTGTGCAAGTCAATGATAACCAAGAAGTGAGCCTTCCAAACGGAAATCACACCGACGTATCTCCGGATTCCGAGCGTCTCAGCGCCTACCAAGGAACAACGTCTGCGGGGAAGTACGTGCCCGCAGATTCCAGACGGAGCTCAGCTCTGGGCTGTGAGCGAGCTGATTATGGGAATGGAGTATCGGCGGCTTCCGAGGTTGAGCGAGATTCGGGAGAGAGGGGTTCTGAAAGTTTCCACTTCGAATCGATGTCCGGTAGGTTCGGATTCAGCTCTGTTCATGTCACGGGACGGCATCGCGGGGACCGAGGCGTCTTTTTTCTTGGTCATTGCTTGTCCCGTCTGGACATCGCGTAGGATCGTAAATAGCCGCTCAGCCGATCTCGACAGAATCTGAGCTCGCCAAGCCCTGCATTCCGAATCACAAGTAGAATAACCCAAGCGGACCCTTCCGGCTGTCCACCGGAACGTTCCGCGACACCAAAGAGACTCGATTTTTATGATTATATGCAGGAACCCGATAGGATCCTCTCAGTAGGTACTCCCGAAGTCTTGGAGGAGCGTCCTGCGCGAGCAGAATGAGGCGCCACTTCTCAATCTCGAATGATCGGCTCGCCTCTGCGAAAACTTTGACAATTTTTAATGATTCCCTTCCGCGAAGCCCGCGGACTTCAGTCCTGGGGTGCAAGCGCAGGATCTTCGAAACTTCTATTCGATCTGGATTGGCCTCGATGTTTGGAGCCCTCTTCATCTCTTTCCGCAAGCACCAGCATGGAGTGGAAATTTATTATTGTTCGCTACCCTCATCTGCAATATGTCACTTTGCAGATGATCGCTGCAAACAAGATCGGGACAGCCGTTTGAAGATCCTCGAAATTCTGAAGGGCGAGGAATGGATGTCGCTCGATGATTTCGTGGACGTCTACAAGCGGCGTTTTGGCGTCGCTGTGACACGAAGCTGGATTCGCGGTCAACAGGCACAAATTGAGTTCTTGATGCTCCTCAACGACAGGATCCGTTACAAAGAAGTCTCGTGTGGAGAATGTCTGCAGCGCGTCCAGCACCTGGCGAACCTCTGTCGCGGTTTAGCTTTGCATCAGGTGTCTCCTTTTTTCCGTGCGTCGTACGGTTTCCCGCTTCCGACTCGTCTCTTGCGAATCATTGCACAATCGCATGCAGACGGGAAAATCCCGGAGGGACTCCCAATTGAGTTCCAGCCCGACATCTTAGAGGATCTAGAGAACCTCGCTCCTTTTCAAAGACGAATCATCCTCTGTCTAATCGGGAAGGGAAGATGGGTGCGGTTCGACGAAGTAGTCAGAGATACGTGCATAGTGAAGCCGGAGGGATTCGACGAAACCCTCTTCTTCGAGGAGATACCGAACGTGGCGATGAAGAATTCGAGGGTCATGTATCAGAAGATTTCGCCCGAATTTCTGACTGAGAACCTGAGAAGACTCCTACTGTGGACCGTATGTGTTCATATAAGCGAGCTGCCTTCACTATTCAGGAGCCTCCTGGGAGTCAAGATTGACCTTCCATCTCTGTGCCGACTTCCATCGAGCCCCGGCGTGGAGTGCGTCGGTGACTTTCTCAAAACCCAAGACGCGCTGCCACGTCCGGTGAAGACTCAGACTTCTCGAGACGAACTCATACAGCACTCCGAGCGCCAGCTCTTCCGTCTGTTCGAAATGGTCCACGACAACCCCAACATCAAGGTGAAGCAGCTAGAGCAGCGGTATCACGAGAAGTTCATGGCTCCCATCATGAGCATGAGTTCAACATTCGAGCTATACTTGCTCTCCCATCCCGAGTTCCAGCTGAGAGACTCGAGCGTGACTCTGAGAACTCCCCCGGCTGGAAATGCTCCCGAGATGCCTCTAGGGGACATCTGCTTGAGGGAATGCAGCCCAGAACAACCGACCCGCGGAGTGATCATAAAACGCGTCTTTCCTCTCATGAGGCTGGGTGGGAAAGCCAAGAGCATCTCCGCTCTGCTGAAAGAGTATAACTCCGCCTATGATCCCCCGCTGACATCGATGAGTCTCAAGGACGCTCTGAGGTCAACGGATTTCGTCTGCCTCTCGAAAAAGGGTATAACTTTCAGATGCGCCGCTCTCCACCGCTCGAGCTCGTCCGCCCTGAGAAGGTGCATTACTGAGGGTAAGCACTCGTTCTCAATCGATAATCTCGCTGAACAACTTCTGACCTACACAAAC